AAGATGTAAGGAAATAACCTGCAAGGATCGAGGTGAAACCTGCGGATCCCAAGAGCTCAAGAAAGTTCTGTGAGCTAGCCTCCTAGAAGGGATTGAGGTGAAACCTGCAAAAACCCGAGGCTTTAAGATTGAGGCGCTTTGACGGCTCCGGAGCCGTCGACGGCTCCGCAGCCGTCGACGGCTCCGCAGCCGTCGACGCCTGATCAGTTGATCATGGTCGTCCATTATTCCAACCTGCGTGGTTTTTGGAGAATTGGAAAATTTCTCCAAAAAAGCTCATAAACCTGAAAAGAAATGCTAGGGGGGATACTTACCATAGACTCACTCTCATTTAGGGCACCTATTATTGATAGAAGAAATAAAAACAACGAACGTTACAACAACGTTTTCTAGACACACATACGCGCTTTGCAAAACGAAAGCGTACTGACGAATCCCGCGTCAACCGCGCTAACCGACACTTGATGGCGGATCGAAGCGCCCTTCGCCCCCCATAGACAGCTCTCACTATAGGTTCGAGACACACATGCATGCGATGCATACGTGACGTAATCTCCGAAGGGTCAAGCCGAAGGCACAGACATAAAATAATGGAAATCTACATCAATCAATTGAAAATCTATTTGATCAATTTCCAATGAATGAATGAATTGAATGAAATTGATGAACAGAAGAGTTATTTCGTGATGCTTTTTAATTATTGTAATTTTTATTAATTTTCAGAGCTCCATAATGTGAAGCAAGAAATTTCTACTCTCGAAGCTGAGAACGCAGACTGTGAAAACCTTCGGGTGACAGCTGAACTGAAAGTTGTCGAACTTGAAGACCAACTGGAGTCGCTGAATCGCGTCAAACCCCAGACCCCATCCACAGCCTCTCTCCCCGACAATCAATCCGATAATAAATCACCAGTCGTCGACTCCTTCGAGTCCATCGAAGAAAATCGTAATGAACTGCTGAAACAATTGGATTTGCTCACCCAGAAAAATCAAAACCTAGAAATGCAACTGCGGGAATTCAGAGAGAAGGATCCAACAGTTGAGAAAAAATCGTCAGATACAGACTCCACGGAGTCCTTCGAGAGGATCTCCGATAACAACGATGGACCCACAAAAATAGATAATCTAATTATTTCAGAGGAAAAACTAGCAGAACCCCCAGACAACACGACAGATCTCCACCAGAGAATCGAAAATCTTATCCAAGAAAACAACGATTTAGTGATAGAGTCGACAAAACTCCAGGAGAAGCTCAACCATCAGAAGGAGAATTACGAAGCTAAACTAGAAACCCTAGAAATTCAAAATTCTGGATTGAAACAGAATCTCACGAGTCTCTGCAGTGAGACAGTCTTGATACCTCTGGTAGCAGAAATTTCTGACTGCAAGCAAGTACTTGAAGAACAATTACAACACGTAGAAAATTTGGAGATGAGTCTTCTCCAAAGCCACCAAGAGTTGTCAGAGAAACGCGAAGAGATATCAGAATGTCAACTATTGATTAAAAATCTAACATCGATTCAATCAAAATTCACAGAGATGGAGAAGCAAATCGAGAATTTGAATCTTGAAAAGTCATCAATCGTTGAGAAATTCCAATTATCATTCACTGAAATGATAGAATTATCAGAGAAATCCAAAGAAAAAGAAGATGCGAGTACAGAGAAAATAAATAGTCTGCTGACTCGCTTATCAGATCAAAACTCTGAAATATCTTCTCTACAAGAGACCATAAACGCCAACACGAAAATCCTTGAGACATTAAAAGATGAAAATACTGAATTAAAAATTACAATTGACTCTTTGCAGAAAGAAAAATCGTGGCTTGAAGATGAAAACACTCACTTGAGTAATCAAATACAGCTAAAAGAGGATTCAATCACAGCCCTTGAGGGAGAATTCAGAACGACAGTCTCCATTATTGAAGACAGATTGAAGGATAAAGAAGTGATGCTGATGTCTTCAGAAACACAAATTCCCAAATTGCAGAATGAACTAGAAGATAAAGACAAGATAATCGATGAATTTGAAAAGAAAATAGAATGGCTAGAAGCACTGGCACAGGCCAAGGAGATGACGCTGATAGAAGAGAAGGAGAAAATCACTGCAGAGTTCGACAACAACGTGATGTCTTTGGAGACATTACTGGAGACCAAGACGTCTCTTGTTGCCTCTTTGCAGACGGAAATTCAATCTTTGCTGGAAACCTTGAAGAATAATGAAGTGACGATAATTACACTGCAGGAGGAGATCAACTCTTTGCAGTCTGCTCTTGTCGAAAAAGAAATGTCAGCTGTTTCTCTTGCTGATGAGGCTGATGCCTGTCACGACTCTCTCATGCAGAGATCCAGTATGTATCAGTCATGCGAGTCAACATTAGCCTCAGATAAATTAGAATCAGAAGCTGCTGTTGCTGAGTTACAACTGAAGCTGACAGAACTTCAATCACAAGTTGATAATTCTAATTCAATTATTGATAAGTTCAAAGAAGAAATTGAAGATATCACGAGGGGGAAAGTTGAATTGGAGAAAGAACTCCAGGAGTTGCGATCAGACAAATTAGCGCTTGATAAATCTGTGGAAATGCTGACCCATGAATTGCAGACGGTGAAAGTTGAAGCTGAAGGTCAGGATGAGGAAATTAATCACTTTAGACTGACAAATGATGAGTTGAAAAATCGATTGGAGTCAATGGATAAAGAGTTGAAGGATAAATGCAATGAATTGGAGCATTCAAAGTCTGAGATTAATAATAAAGAAATAATTGTTGACAATCTGCAAGATGAGATAACAAAATTAAATGGCCTCATCACTGAGAATAAGAATCATTCTGGAGTTCTTGAAGCAGAAATTATGAGATTGCAGGAGCAGTTGGGAGATAAATCAATTATTCAGGAGGAAAATAGCGAATTAATTGAAAAAATGAGAGAGAAAGAGGAAACAATCAAGAGATTAGAGTCGGTAATTGGCGATCTCAGTGAGAAACTCAATGAAGCGACAGCCAAAGTTGATGAATTACTGGCATCACTGAATGGTAAAGAATCTGATCTTCTTGTTTTGCTGGAGGAAAAAGAAGATTTACTCCAACGAATCGCGAATGAAACTACAGCTAAAGAGGAAGTAGTTCAATCTCTGAATCATCAGCTAGAGAATCAGACGTCATACGTAGAGGACATCAGAGCAGAACTGAATGACGCCTACAAGATGATGGAGCAGTTGAAACTGAAGCACATCGAAGACATCGGCATGAGAAATCAGAGGATCGACGATGTGATCAGTGAATTGAATGCAAAAACAAGTCAATGTGGACAATTGACATCAATTCTAGAAGAGAAAGAGAAGATTATCAATGAACAAATGGCACTGGGAGTAAAAACATCATTGGACCAACGAATTGCTTCACTGGAAAAGGAATTGGAGGATGTCAATGCCACGAATCAGGCGCAATTGCAGAAAATGAAGATGATTGCGGCAAATCTCAAGAAGAAAACGGCCCAGTGTCAGCAGCTAGAGGAAAAGGCCAACGATCTCGAGGAGAAATGGGCAAGTGAAAAATCAGAGAAGGAGGAAATCAATATGAGAATTCAGCAGATGCAGTCCGATGTGGAAATGAAGACTAATAAAATTCAGGGATTGGAAGAACAGTTGATTAATTTCCATGCACAAATCTCGAACGAATCCGAAACTATTGAGAGATTATCGAAAGAGTTGGGCACAGCTAATGACGGAATCGCTGCTCTTCAGGATCTTGTGAAGCAGTTCCAATCGGAAGTTGAAAAACTCTCAGCTGAGATCAATGAGAAATCTCAATTAATCGAGAGTGAGAAGTTATCGAAGGACTCGATAATTTCAGAGTTCGGGTCCTATAAGGAGAATGTGCAATCTGAATTGGAGGGATTGATCCAGAAAAATGAAATTCTAAATGCCATGATTATGAAGAAGACTGAAGAGTTCGACATTTTTGAAAAATCCACAATAACGAGTCAACAGACAATGTCGCAGACTATTGACCAGCTGAGATCTCAAATCGAGGAGAAATTTTCAGAAGTTTCTTCTAGAGATCAACAGATTCAATCGCTGATTGTTGAAGTTGATGATAAAAACCATCAGATCTCGGTTTTGAGTCTTGATGTTACGCAGATGAATCAGAAAATCGAGTCTCTGGAATTGGAAATTGAATCTGAAAAATCATCTAAAGAGTCAATTCTGTCGGAAATTGTAGCTCTTCAAATTGTTAAAGTGAATTTGGAGCAGGAGCTGGAAGAGGCTAAGGAGAAAGCACGAGAGCTTGGAGTACGAATGCAAGTGATGGAGACTGAATATGTGGAGCAATTGAACACTATTCAGACCCTGAGAACAGAAAATGGAATGTTGTCTTCCAAACACGCACAAACGCATGAACGACTGGAGAATACAGAGGCAGAGTCGAACGAACGATTAAGAGTTATTGAGACTTTGAAGAGTGAATTAATCGCCCTGAAAAATTCTCTACCCTCATCTCATACCCCAGAGTCGTGCGATCATTGCGAGAAATGTCAGGAGTTGGTGAACGCCCTCGAAGGAAAACTACAGGAGCGAAACGCAGAGATTCAGAATCTAGACAACGAATTGGCAAATTCTATCGCTAATTTCCTGCAAATGCGAGAGAATCTGAGAACTCAAGAATTGCAATGCAACGAAGAGTCCCAGGAAGCCAGAAAATCTCTGGCTCAATTCAACGATTTGTTGGTGAGAAATTCTGAGAATGAGATGAGAATTCAACAAATGCACGAGCAAATTCTTCATTTAACTGATGATAATTCTGCTCTCAACGACGAGCTGATGAAAACTCGAGAAATTGCAGGTCAAAGTCATCGCTTGGAGCAACAACATCTGGATTTATCCAAGATTCATCAGGAAAAGGAGAAAGAAGTTGAGGAATTAAATGAGAAGCTGCAGAAATTGGAGATTGAAAAAGCAGATTTATCTAAAAAAATCAAGAATTTGAATTTAGAGGAGGAGACGGGGAAAAGTTTGGATAATACAGTTCCTGAAGTTGTTGGAGCACCGAAATTATTTGATGCTGCCAGGCTGTTCGATGCTCCAGCGCCCTGGGACGTTGAAAGCTCCACAGAGGACATTGCAGTCTTAAAGAAAAAATTAGAGGTAATTGAATCAGAGAAAGTCCAATTGTCATCTCAACTTGATGAATTAACAACTGAAGTCTCTTCATATCAGCGAGAAATTGAACGAATTACCGAGAGGAATGGAGAATTGGAAAATCAATCTGCTGAGACAGATGGAATGAAATTGGCGATGAAAGATTATGAGCAACAGGTTGAACTTTTGAACGAGGAGAACAACCAACTGCGAGCTGAGCTACTCCAACGCCAAGAATTCGTTGCTAGATCTGTTGAAGACTTGAGAGCAGTTGAAGACACTAGTGCAACGATTGAGGCCTTGGAAAAGATGAAAAATGAGAAACAAGATCTGCAGAATTCGATTGTTCATTTCATCAGCGATGTGAAACGCCTAACCGAAGAGGAAGTCCCTGAAGAAGTCGGTATCAATGATTACGTCGCAGAATTGGCTGCAGTGATCACAAAAATTGAGTCGTTGCAGCAGAGAATCAATTCAACTTCTGCAGTCATTCAATGTCAAGATGAAAAGCAAGAAGTGCAAGAGGACACGAAACTCGATTCATCATCAGGACTATCACCACCTCTGAATGACGAGGAATTGAAGCTAGATGATGAAGAGGAATGGGGATGGAATGCCCAGGACGCTGAATTGGGTTCTGGACTGGCAATAACACCGTTCTGCACTGGGGAGACTCAACTCAGAGTTAGAGTTGCTGAGTTGGGAGACACAATCAGAGATTTGGAGGACGAAAGATTGAAATTGATGGAGGAGATTAAAGTGGGGCAGGTGAGGAGTGGAAAGTTAGTGAAAAAGCTGAAAGAATTCAAGGCTCAGAACGAAAATCTCCAGAAGCAGTTGAACCTCCAGAAATCATCTGGAAGTCTCTGCGACCTTGACTCTGCCATTGAAGATGAACTCAAGTCTCAGATCTCTGGATTGGAGAAGAACTTGACAGAAGTAAAATCTGATCACAACAAACTCATTCAAGAACGCGATAATCTGGTGAAACGAATTGATGTTTTAGTCGCGGCTAATGAGAGATTCACGGAGATGAAAGAGCGTCAAGATCGTGAAGTGGAAGTTCTGCAAATTCGTAATAAAGAATTGGCGAGTAAGATCGGTTCAGTTGAGAGAGATATTGGTGAAAAGTCAACATCCCTTGAAATTTGCCAGACAGAAAAATCGACGATGGAACAGGTATCGAAGGAGCAATACGACGAGCTCCAGGATTCCCTGGATATGTTGGCAGCTGAGAACGAAGAGCTGAGGACTCTGATCGAGACCGAGAAGAGTGAGAGGCTTGCTGTTGAGATATCATTGACCGAGAGAATGCGAGAAATTGAGGAATCAAAGAATCAAACCGACGAGATGAAGATAGGATTTGACGAGACCCTGAAGAAGTGTCAGAATTTGGAGACAGAGTGCATGTCTAATCTCGAATTTGCCAATCAGAGGATAATCGAAGTGGAGAACAATCATGCGATTGTTCTCGGTGAGGCGTTGCAGCGTTCTCAAGAATTGGAGATTAAAACTGCTGAACAGAATGAGAGGATAGGTCTATTGGAGGAGAGTCTGAGTGCATCTCAAAATCATCTGATTGAAGCTCAAGAAACTTTGTCCAATGTCACAGAATTGTTGAACGTCAGAGTTCAAGAAGTCGCTGAGTTAAGACAGCAGATACAACAATTACAGGGTGCCAAAATCGAAGCAGCAACTTGTCGAATCAGTGTAGATAATTTGAAGGAGAAACTGATGGAAACTGAAGAAGACATGTCCAGAAAATTGAGCCAGCAGGAAGAAGATTTGTCTCGAAAGTTGACTCAGAGGGAAGAGGATTTGACTCGTAAATTAACCGAGCAAGAAGAAGATCTCACACGTAAATTAACAGAACGTGAAGAAGACCTGACACGTAAATTAATAGAGGCTGAAGAGAATTTGTTGAGACAATTATCTCTGAAGGATGCTGAAATACTCGAATTGTCATCAACTCTGGAGGCAAAACTACAGGAGAAAACTCTGGAAATTGATTCTCTCTCTTTGCAGCTCCAAGAGCTTTCTTCAGAACGTGAATCATTGATATCTACTATAAAAACTGGGGAGCAAGAGCTTCAGTCCCTGAAGGAGTCTTTAGATAAGAACGAATGGCTAGTAGAGTCCCTCAAAACCGAGTGCACCGTAAACAAAGAGACGATTTCCAGTCTGGAGAACGACTTGTCTTCTTCCAAAGAAGAGATAGCACGTCTGACAACAACAATCGAATCTTTAACATCACAAATCGAACAGAAAGTTCAGGAAATATCAGTAAAGGGACACGAGATCGAGTCTTTGAAGGCTATTGTAGCTGAAGTCCAGGCGAAATCAGAACAGACAGCTGAAATCTGTTCTAAATGCAGAGAAAACGAACTGATTCATTCCGAAATCGATAGTTTGAAGGAGCAATTGAGGGGTAAAGACATAGAAATCGAGGATTTGAAGTACATCCTGAATGAGAATACGTATCCAAGAATATTCCAAGAGCTACAGGACAAAGCCAACTCGTTGTACAATGAAAAATCACAATTGGAAACGGCTCTGAGTTCTGCTCTTCAGCAACTTGAAAATCCTAAGGGAGACGATCTGGGGGATGAAGCGAGGATTAATCTCCAGAAGATGTTGGACATGAAGGAAGCAGAAGTTCAGTCATTGGGGAAAAAATTAGAGAGTAAAACGACTGAGTGTTTGCTGCTGGAGAATGCACTAGCTAAACAAATATCATCTGCTACTGGGGAACCGTCCAAGGAGCAATCACTTACTTCGAGTGAACTTGATGTTGCACTTTATATGTTGCATCAGAGGGACGTCAGGTGTGAGGAGCTCACCCATGAGTTGATGCAGTTGTTGGAGGAAAGGGATACCCTCCAGTTGAGGCTTTCCAATGCTATTCGATTGAATGAAGAAATGAGGAGAGAAATTGTCGGGGAGGTGACGACTGTGAGTGAACAACCTAATGTTGAGGAGCAGAAGACACCGGTGAAGAGTGAACCTTCTGGGAAGAAAACTGAACTCGCTCAAAAGTAAGTTTCGATGACTGTTGTTTTGGTACTTCTGTTGGGCCCTTTTCGTCTCTATTTGAGCTTTCGATTAATCAGGGAACAGTATTGATTGAAGAGTATATGAAAATGGAAATATTCGTGAGGACAAGTTGTCGCGTGCGATCCTTGAACGATTCGAATGCAAACTGAGTTGAATATTTCAGTTTAATTATTATTTTGATTTACACGTTTTCAAGGTATTATCACACAGCATTTGGTCTAGTGTACAAAGATTATTCCGGAAATTACCCGATGTTTGTAATTAATACAGTGAAGTTTATTAAGGCTCGGGTGGATTATCTAGAAAAGATAATTTACTCCGAAATTCGGATTCCTAATTACTTTGGCAATTAATCGTTTTTTAAAATAACTGTTAGCTAGCGTTCTAGCGGTTGTCAACAACTAGGCCGCTAGCTGACAACTATCGGAAAAAACGATTAATTGACGGAGTAATTAGAAGTCCCAATTTTGGAGTAAATTATCTTTTCCAGACCGTCCATCCGGGCCTTAATGCTGTGGCACTTCTCCAACCAAATCCTGACGGTTATTCTGTTAACAGACATAACAGACATTGAGAACAGTTACTCTAAAGAATGTTGACAGGCATGGGAGCACGAGTTTATTGTTAACATTTCTACCAGTTATTTGAATTCTTCGTTTTTCTTTTTTAGCTTTTCGTTTTGACTTTTACCGATGAATGTAATAATCCTAGGAGCATTATATTTTGAAAGACTCGTAGAATAATGTAATGTAATTTTATATTAGCACCGACACGTCCGCGATGTCGATTACCCTAGTATTTAATTAAGACCCGGGTGGACTATCTATCGAATGTCATCTTTTGTTTAAATTTTACCTTTTTAGCCTAAAATACATTAAAATGTGGGATCAAATTTGTGTTGCGGGAGCTACTCGAATGGTTATACAAAAATAATGAAAAAAAAAGAGGAAAAATTATTGAAGGGCGCTAAAGAGCGATATTGTTTAAAAGGGATCTACCAAGTTTACAAAAAAATAATAAAAATTACGCAGCTTACCATTGCTCTCCAGAAGATTGAGTGACAGCTAGATGCAATAGTAAGCTACGTATTTTTTATTATTTTTTAGCAAACTTGGTAAATCCCTTTTAAATAATATCAATCTTTAGCGACCTTCAATAATTTTTCCTCTTTTTTTTTCATTATTTTTTCATATCCATTCAAGTGCTTCCCGCCACACAAAATTCATCCCAAATTTTAATGTATTTTAGGTTAAAAAGATAAAATTTAAGGACCGGTTGGATTATCTGGAAAAGATCATTTACTCCAAAATTGGGATTCCTAATTACTCTGGCAATTAATCGTTTTTTTCAATAATTGTTAGCTAGCGTTCTAGCGGTTGTCAACTACTAGAACGCTAGCTAACAATTATCGAAAAAAAACAATTAATTGGCGGGGTAATTAGGAATCCCAATTTTGGAGTAAATTATCTTTCCGAGATACTCCATCCGGCCCTTAAACAAAAGTCGACGTTCGATAGACAGTCCACTCGGGCCTTAAGGCCCGGATGGACTGTCTGGAACAGATAATTTACTCCAAAATTGGGACTTCTAATTACTCCGTTAATTGATCGTTTTTTCGATAATTGTTAGCTAGCGGCCTAGTTGTTGACAACCGCTAGAACGCTAGCTAAAAATTATTGAAAAAAACCATTAATTGCCAAAGTAATTAGGAATCCGAATTTCGGAGTAAATTATCTTTTCTAGGTAATCCACCCGAGCCTTAAGGCCCGGATGGACTGTCTGGAAAAGATAATTCACTCCAAAATTGGGACTTCTAATTACTCCGTCAATTAATTGTTTTTTCTGATAATTGTTAGCTAGCGGCCTAATTGTTGACAACCGCTAGAACGCTAGCTAACAATTATTGAAAAAAACGATTAATTGCCAGAGTAATTAGGAATCCCAATTTTGGAGTAAATTATCTTTTCCAGTTAATCCAACCGGTCCTTAAGGCTCGGATGGACTGTCTTGAAAAGATAATTTACTCCAAAATTGGGACTTCTAATTACTCTGTTAATTAATCGTTTTTTTCGATAATTGTTAGCTAGCGGCCTAGTTGTTGACAACAGCTAGAACGCTAGCTAACAATTATTGAAAAAAACTATTAATTGCCAAAGTAATTAGGAATCCGAATTTCGGAGTAAATTATCTTTTCTAGACAGTCCATCCGGGCTTTAATATGATATATTTATGGTATGTCTGCACTTGTTGTTAGGATTGATTAATTAGTAAGAACTCCTCTGTAAAAGCTAGTATTCCCCGTAGGTTGTCCCAGCTGCACACAGTCGGACACAGACGAGACATTCGATTGATGGACGATCGAGAATTGAGGAACACCCAGCAAATGTCTTTATTGGCGCACAAAGACGCCCTTAGTACTCTTCCTCCGGATGCCGCTGCCAGACTCATCAATGCCAATTACACCCTCTGTATGTATTTAATGCTAGAGTAATTCTATTCACTTTGAAAATTCATCAGTTTAGATTACCCACATTTTTTTCTAGATTATCGTCGAAATTTATCCATTCCTCTTTTAATTACAGCACGAGACGTCCAGAGTCAATCAAGCGTTTTACTAAATTGGTTGTGGGGTAAAAGGTAATTCTGCCGATATATTACTGTTATATTGGTAATTATTTATAAAATGGAAAGAAACAGAATTCAATGCTTTCGATCTCAGCAATGAGACTACAAACGGAACGTTATATTTGTTTAAAATATGGAAAATCTACTGATTACAATAATAATCATCTTATTGGAATATGGGTGTAAGTGAACAAATAAAACCGAAGACACGGTGAAATACTTTATAGAATATTCTTTATTAGCACGAGGAAGCCGCGTCTTAACTTGAGGACCGTTGTCCAGAGACTAAAAACTATATCAAAGGGAAAAACTCTCAATTCTATGACTCAAAGGAACACAGTCCTTTGCTGAAATTTCAGCATATGTTTAGGATTAAATCGAATCCCGGAAAAAATATCCCAGGGAAAAAATATCCCACACATTCAAAACGTGTTAAAACTCGCTCAATTTAATTATTTTTTAATTTAATTATTTTTTTCGTTGTCTATTTTTTCAGGGGCTCTAATTTTCCTATGGTCTATCAAATTGGGTGGGTTTTAACACGTTTTGGGTGTGTGGGCTATTTTTTCCGGGGATATTTTTTCCGCCTACCGATTAAGGTGGTTGTCGCGCGACAGTCTCTGTAAAAAGTTTATCCGCTGTAAAACGGGCCAGTTTAGAACACAATCTTTTAGCGGTATATAGTCTCACTTGATTGATTGCATTGTGCATGGATAGCTAAAGCATAACTATATATTTTCCATATTAACTATTTTCAATTATATAAATTTATGAATTTCCGATAATTATATTCCGTAAACCAAACGGGCAATCGATTTGATTTTTTTTTCTGTATTTCCTCCCACGATGTATATTCCACGTTTTTTTTTATTTCTGAAACTGTCTAGCCGTTGATTTTTAAAAAATTCTAATCGGCAAAACTCCATTTAAACACGTGTTAAATCACTCGAATTTCAAAAATTTATATCTCAAGTTCAAAACAGTCAATTGCAAACGGAAAAGGCTCATTTTGTTGCTAATTTTTCAAACTATTCACCATAAAATTTTTAACGAAAACTGTCGAAAAAAAATTCTACGCGACAACAGCCTTAAATCACTCTCGAATTCGGAGTACAACCGATCGTAAATTAGTCCCTTAGTAGAGCTGTTTTCCAGAATGTTTAGGATGGTGTCAAGTGATTTTTGTAGGACAATGAAAGAGCTGTACTCAAATATTCCAACACATCTCATTCTCTTTTGAAATAAAAACCGAAATAAAAAAATTGAAAATCATATCATAGCGCCACGTACAAATCATGTGTCTTCTCTCGTTTGTTTAAAAAAATAAATGTCTAATTTCTATTCTAGTTTCAATATTATTTTTTACATTTTTCATATATTTAACAATAATTGACAAATAATTAATGACGAATGAATTGATTTCAGCACGCCAAAAGTGGTCCACATGTGACCAAAGCCAAAACCGATGGATGGACGAGTTTCATGATTTTTCGGAATACATTCCCTACGATTGATTAATGTAATTAACTGCCAAATTGATTGACTCACCAGGGCCAAACGCAATAGTTAATTAACAGTGTAAATTGAATATCTGACACCTGGATGGTATTGGAAAGAAGTTAACATTTATATTTGTACATTAAATTCGTTGAAGCTTTTAAATGCGTGTCATAGTATTAATTGTCATTAATTTATGAATTTCAATGAGTTAAAGTTGGTGCCTTTGTCATGCGAAAGGAGAATATATTTAAGAGGGAAATTAAAATGTGGGGAGTTTGAAAGAGAACAGCAATGTAATAGATTATTTTATAATTATAATATATGGCCATTGTATAAAAAAATTCATTGAAAGTGTCTTTACCAGTAATGGAAGGAGAAAATGTACATTTTGAATTAAATTTTCATCGAGTGCAATTACTGATATTCATTTCTTATGCCGAACTCCTTTTCCTGGTGGAATAGATTGAGAATATCTATTTAATTATTATTCATTTACGACGCGGGTGGACTATCTATCAAACGTCGACTTTTGTTTAAATTTTATGTTTTTATTTTTAATTTGGGATGAATTTTGTGTTGTGGGAAGCACTTGAATGGACATGAAAAAGTAATGAAAAAAAAGAGGAAAAATTATTGAAGGGCGCTAAAGATCGATATTATTTAAAAGCGATTTACCAGGTTTGCTAAAAAATAATAAAAAATACGTAGCTTACTATTGCATCTAGCTGTCACTCAATCTTCTGGAGAGCAATGGTAAGCTGCGTAATTTTTATTATTTTTTTATAAACTTGGTAGATCCCTTTTAAACAATATTGCTCTTTAGCGCCCTTCAATACTTTTTCCTCTTTTTTTTCATTATTTTTTTATAACCATTCGAGTAGCTCCCGCAACACAAATTCGATCCCAAATTTTGATGCATTTTAGGCTAAAAAGATGAAATTTAAACAAAAGATGACATTCGATAGATAGTCCATCCGGGCCTTAACTCTTAATAATTTGCCATTTTTCAATGGACATTTTTCATAGGACAATTAGGGAGGATGATAGAATTAATTAACAGTTTAATTTTCACTGGACAGGATTTTAATTGTTAATTATTCTATTTCCTTTGATTTTTCAGCTTTAATTTTTTCCCAGTTACGAAATACTCATTTTACCTAGGGGAGACCCAGGCAAAATGGGACACGGGGTAAACTGGAATGAATCAGGAGGTCCAATGGAAAACGAGAGGAAAAAATCGATCGTAAGAATCCATTAGCAAAAATTTCAGGTTTTCCAGAATTCTGTCCCAGCTGACTGACAAAAAAATATTAAATTCCCACGTAAGGAATTTCATAATTACAAACAAAAAAATAAATAATAAAAAATAATTGAAGTTAGATAGCCATTTTTTCAAATATTGAAAAATTAAAAAACTAGGAGAACAACTGTCCGGTTAAAAGAGAAAATTTAATTCGCAAAGACCACTGAAATATTTTTAGACAGTCCCCAAGATTTTCTAGCTGAAAAAAGACTGGGAATGAGTTAAAAGCACTTTTCCGCGACTGTCCCATTTTGCCCGGCTCTCCTCTATCCGATAGATTATCTGTAATGTATTTTAATTGATTTAAGTTCTAACAGGAATGAGGAAAATGGAAAAATGTGGGTGTTCGAAGGATTCGTCATTGATACCTCTGATGCTGTCGATCGATTACTCTGAAATACAGGAAAAACTTGTTTTCCGCATTAATACTGGTTATATGAAGAAATGAATTTGTCTCTCATCTCTCACAGTAGATTAATCTTTCTGGGCGAAACCATTAATATGATCTCCATCATCACCAGATCAAGAATTAGTTAATCTGTAATTATTCACAAGTCAGTGAGATTTCAATGCAAAATAAAAATGACAGCGAAATTCTTCATAATTTTCATCATTTCTTTGAATATATTTTCAAGTGAAGTGTTGGGAAAAAATGGCACTAAACCACACATAGTAATTATCGTTGCTGATGATCTGGTAAGAAACATTCTGATCGTCTCTCTAGATAATATGAATTTCAAAAATTCAAAACTTGAATTTCGACTAATTTTAAGGCTCGGGTGGATTATCTAGAAAAGACAATTTACTCCAAAATTCGGATTCCTAATTACTTTGGCAATTAATCGTTCTTTTCAATAATTGTTAGCTAGCGTTCTAGCGGTTGTCAACAACTAGGCCGCTAGCTAACAATTATCGGAAAAAAACGATTAATTGACGGAGTAATTAGAAGTGCCAATTTTGGAGTAAATTATCTTTTTCAGACAGTCCACCCGGGCCTTAAAGCTCGGGTGGATTATCTAGAAAAGATAATTTACCCCGAAATTCGGATTCCTAATTACTTTGGCAATTAATGTTTTTTTTCAATAATTGTTAGCTAGCGTTCTAGCGATTATCAACGACTAGAACGCTAGCTAGCAATTATCGGAAAAAACAATTAATTGACGGAGTAATTAGGGATCCCAATTTCGGAGTAAATTATCTTTCCGAGGTACTGCATCTGGCCCTTGATTTTTTTTTCTGAGTTCACAAAGTTTTCGCGAGGTTCAAATCTTTGAAATAATTTTATAAATCGGTTAATATTTACGAGAGTTACGCTCTTAAAAGCTGAAGAAGTGAAAAAAAAAATCATTATAAATTCCTGGAATTTCCCGAAAATTTCTATTAAATTGAATTGAAACTATTAATTATAATGGCGTGTACAATAAAGAAGAAAATCGGCGATAAAATCGAAGGGGGTAAGGGTCTGAGCCTCGAGATCACTCAGAATATCCCATAAAGAAATAAAATTCACCTTGAATTTTACCATTTTTTTCTAGCAATAACTCGAAATGACTCAGAAACGATTAGTTATTCGAATTCCTGTAGCTTCTAGAGAGATGGCATTATATTAACATGCATAATTATCAACAATGTTTTGTGTTAAATGACGTTACATTCATGACTGATAGAGCTGTTTGCATAATTACAATGGTAATGCGAACCTTGACATATACATCTATTTCTTCAGTACTTTTATCTTTTCGTTACCATTAATTGTTTGGAGAAATGCTTGTCACAATCGAATAATTCATGGGTTCAGGAAGTAGAATAAATGATACCCCGAGGAAGACCTTGTGTGTTCCAAGCGTCAGCAATTTCAAAGGATTTTCTGTTTTCCTTTCGACATTTTCCTTTCTCTCTCCTTCAACTTTTGGTCTTTATCTATAATTATCTAAAATTGCTGGAATGACCGATGGCTGAGTTGTCTGCAATAAATTTTTCAATTAATTTCCCAGAGCATTTATCCAAGACATTTTTATGGAATAAATAAAATATATACTATCACCGTATAGTTATCGTGTTAATTATTCCATGAACACTAAATAAAATCCTCTACATTAAAAAAAAATATCAATCTATTCATTCTCTTCAACTTTCAGTCTTTTATCTGTAATCATCTAAAATTGCTGGGATGATTTTCCTGGGCGAGTTCAATTGAAGGTGGGAAAGAAAACCTCTTCTTTCATCTTTTTATAAATTTCTGAGGCTCCACTCAGAAGCAGACTCTTGAATTCACCACCCTGCTCCATCTAAACACGAAAATTTTTTTTAAGGCTCAGGTGGATTATCTAGAAAAGATTATTTACTCCGAAATTCGGATTCCCAATTACTTTGACAATTAATCGTTTTTTTCAATAATTGTTAGCTAGCGTTCTAGCAGTTGTCAACAACTAGGCCGCTAGCTAACAATTATCGGAAAAAACGATTAATTGACGGAGTAATTAGAAGTCCCAATTTTGGAGTAAATTATCTTTTCCAGACAGTCCATCCGGGCCTTAAAGGATATTTTGCTGATATTTTGTTATTTTTCCTGTTTTTCTGAAATTTATTGAAACCTATCGATTGGATTGGGATACGAAAATATAGCGTTTGTCCGTTCCATCATGATTGACTAATTTTTGTAACTTTTCACTAAAATTTAATTTAAAAAAATCAATAAATTTTAGTAAAAAGTTCTCAGAAAAATAGGAAAATTAACAAAATACCGGCAGAACATCGTTAAACTGTTCCTACGGGTCTTGATCATTAGAATAATTACAACAAGTAAAATATAATCATAAAAAAATGAATTTCTTGTAAATACCAATCAACAGGGATGGAATGACGTGGGTTTCCATGGATCTAATCAGATTCCCACACCAAATATCGATGCACTTGCTTACAATGGTGTAATTCTAAATAATCATTACACTGGGGCTGTATGTACTCCAAGCAGAGCAGCATTGATGACTGGAAAATATCCAATTAATCTTGGAATGCAGCACCTAGCTCTGGAAGCCACCGAACCAAGAGGTCTTCCTCTATCTGAAAAATTACTGCCTCAGGTACGCAATCAGTACTCAAAAAACAAATACTGAATAGTACAAAATTAAACAAATAATTTATAACAATTTTAGTACCTGAAGGAAGGGGGATACGCTACTCACATTGTTGGCAAGTGGCACTTGGGTTTTTTCAAAAAAGAATACACTCCAACGTTTCGAGGTTTTGACTCCCATTTTGGATACTGGAGTGGACATCAGGATTATTATAATCATGAGTTTGAATCATCTGTAAGTCAGTGCAAATTATTAGGGATAAATTAGATTATTATATTGTTTTTAATTAGAGAAAGGTGTCGTGAAGATTTTTTAATTGAGTTTCATGCGTTCTATAAGTGTCAGGCCTCTAACTTCTGGTCAAATGATGCGATTCGATTAATTTTGCGGTAATCAATGCATCTTCATGGAACTTAGAACTGATTCGATTTTGGAGAATATCGCCTCAGCGGTTCTGGAGTTATTCAAAAATGAATTTCTGATATTTACAATTTTTTGAAAATTTTGAATATTGGGAAAATTTTTTACATAAAATCAAAAGAATTCGTCATTATTTTTAAAATTGAATGAACACTGGTGATTTCTAACAAATAAGTGATAATATTTGAAAAATCCGTAAATCAATCGATCAATTCTGTTGATGAAACTGAAAACTAGGATAAGTACATTTTTCTCGACCCCAGTTTTTACCCAATATCTTGAAATTGAAGAAAGATTACGATTTTTTCATAAATATCTTTTTTGTAGCTCTCATCCTTTTCTATAAAAAATATTCACATACAAAATTCGCTAGGTCCTTTCAATTCCGAGATATCGGCTGAAAACTCGCCCCGAAAAATAAGCACTCATTCTATTTTACCACTTCGCTGGTGAATTATCGAATCGATTATTATCAATTGAATTTTAAATATTCCGCAAATATATTTAACCAGTAATTTCATCATTTCGCAATAATTACACTCTGATATTTTTTTTATAGGACGAATATCGTGGTTACGATATGAGAAGAAACATGTCGGTGTCATTTGAAAATAAAAATCGTTACTCAACAGATCTTTACACAGAAGAAACTGTTCGATTAATCGATACCCACGATAAAGACACACCAATGTTTATATATCTTGCACATGCAGCCGTGCACAGTGGAAATGCAGAGAATCTCCTGCAAGCACCAGACGAAGAAGTTGCCAAATTCTCCTACATAAGTGATCCTGAACGAAGAAAATATGCTGGTAAGTCTATTATCTCAATTAAGAATGTTCCATACCCATAAATAGCCAAAATTCGAATTATAAAAATTGTTCGGCTTATTATCGATGGGATCGATGTGAAAAAATATAACGGTTTTGTATTTTGTCATTATTTAATGGCACACGCAGTTTTGTGGTGGTGCCATAATCTTCATGCATTTTCTCTCCAGTTCTGTGATTCTTTTTAAATAAAAAAAATCTGCATGTTACGCTCCACTTCCCTACTATCGCGTCCTTTTTATGAAAGTAGAAACACAAACATGAAGTTCGCCCGAATCGAAATATCTCGAAATGCGCAGGACTAATTTCTCATTAGTCGACTCGAACCGCCAAGTTCAAATTCGGCGCACGGAGTGCGCAGTAGGTCTCGTTCTTTTTATGAAAGCAGAAAAATAAAAATGAAGTTCGTCCGAGTCGAAATATCTCGAAACGCGTAAGAGTAATTTCTCATTAGTCAACTCGAACCGCCAAATTCAAATTCGGCGCACGGAGTGCGCAATAGGTCTCGTGAAACATTAAAATAGGTGAAATTTTTCCTTTTTATGAAAGTAGAAACACAAAAATGAAGTTCACCCGAGTCGAAATATCTCGAAACACGTAGGACTAATTCCTCATTACTCAATTCAAACCGCCAAATTCAAATTCAGCGCACGAAGTGCGTAGTAGATCTCGTCCTTACTATGAAAGTAGAAAAACAAAAATGAAGTTCGCCCGAGTCGAAATATCTCGAAACGCATAAGACTAATTCCTCATTGGTCAACTCGAACCGCCAAATTCAAATTCGGCGCACGAAGTGCGCAATAGGTCTCGTCAAATATTAAAATATGTGAAATTTTCTTTGTCCTCAGCAATGGTTTCGAAACTGGATGAAAGTGTGGGAGAGGTTGTAGCAGCTCTACGTCGAAATGAAATGCTGCAGGACAGCATAATTTTATTTGTTGCTGACAATGGAGCCCCGACTTTCGGTGCTCATCACAATGCTGGGAGTAATTACCCCCTACGAGGCGTAAGGATCATTAACCTCTAATAATACCACTAACAAATTCAGCTCTAATTTTCAATTTAAACTAGATGAAAACAACTGCTTGGGAAGGGGCAGTTCGTTGTGTTGCGGCTGTCTGGAGTCCACTCATAAAACAATCCCAAAAAGTCAGTAATCAACTCTTCCACATGTCTGACTGGCTGCCCACGCTGGTATCCGCTGCTGGTGAGCGTCTAAAATCCTTAAGGACCGGTTGGATTATCTGGAAAAGATAATTTACTCCAAAATTGGGATTCCTAATTACTCTGGCAATTAATTGTTTTTTTTCAATAATTGTTAGCTAGCGTTCTAGCGGTTGTCAACGACTAGAACGCTATCTAACAATTATCAGAAAAAACAATTAATTGCCGGAGTAATTAGGAATCCCAATTTTGGAGTAAATTATCTTTCCGAGATACTCCATCCGGTCCTTAAACCCATTTTCCAATCCGGACTTTTTATTCAAAAAATCAAAGCTCACGGCATCTCCCTAACATACCGGTCGTAAATCTGCTTGAAGAGATTCAATTCTCTCTCCACTTTTACATATTTACCAGCATGACATAGTAATATATCAATTACCTTTTACCCCACAACCAATTTAGTAAAACGCTTGATTGACCCTGGACGTCTCGTGCTGCAATTAAAAGAGGAATGGATAAATTTCGACGATAATCTAAAAAAAAATGTGGGGAACCTAAACTGATGAATTTTCAAAGTGAATAGAATTACTCTAGCATTAAATACATTCAGAGGGTGTAATTGGCATTGATGAGTCTAGCAGCGGTATCCGGAGGAAGAGTACTCACGGTATTCCTCAATTCTCGATTAAACTGAAATTAATAACTATCCGCCTAATGGATATTTCGTTATCAACTCAGTCTACATTCGAATCGTTTGCGGATCACACGCGATAAATTGTCCTTGCGAATATTTAAACATTCGTATTATTGAAGAATTTCTGGCCTTTTCAGTTACTAATCGTTTCTTGTCTTTTTAAAATAAGGAATCAATGCCACACTCTCAGCCCTCGATGGATTCAACATGTGGCCAACAATAGTTGACAGCGAGGAAACACCTCGCAACGAAGTATTAATAAATATCGACGAGATCTCCAATTACTCAGCAATAAGACGTGGCGATTTCAAATATCTCGTTGGATATCCAGGAGCTGTCACCGGTTGGTACGGTAATTTAACCGCATCAGAGGATGCTGAACTGAATTACAAATTGGAGGATGTCCTGAGGTCTAAAACTGGAGCTGCTATAATTGGGATGTCAACCGACATGCTACTCGCTGATTCTGACAGCAATGTCAAGATCTTGACGTCTCAACAAATTGATGATCTGAGATCCCAAGCAACTCTTCATTGTGATACCACAAGGAGAGAAAAGGTTGGTATCAGAAATCCTCGAAGGTTTTGTTTGCTTATGGCTTTCTTAAGGATGTTCTGCTGGTATTTTCTTATTTTTCCTGTTTTTCTGAGATTTATTGAAAACTATCGATTGGATTGGGATATGAAAATATAGCGTTTGTCCCTTACATCATGATTTATCCTTCATAAGTTTCATCCCGATGCAATAACTATAACTTTTATAACTTTTCACTAGCATTTATTGATTTTTTATTGAACTTTAGTGAAAAGTTACAAGAATTAGTGTATCGGGATGAAACTTTATGAAAGAGTCATGATGGAACGGACAAACGCCATATTTTCATATCCCAATCCGATCGATAGTTTTCAATAAATCTCAGAAAAACAGGAAAAATAACAGAATACCAGCAAAACTTCCTTATGTTTAATTAATTTCCGATATTTCTCTATTATAAATGAATAGATAAATGAGGTATTTATCAATTAGGAGATTGATAGACCAGCGAGAGGCATTCTCCAAAAATAAAAAGTCCATTAATTGATTTCCATTAATTTCCAGCGATTTAATCCTTAGGATCCAACAGAGTAATTCCGAGATTTCCTAAATAACAAATCCTCTAATTGAGTCTGAAAATAATTTCTGCTTAAGGGCCGGGTGGACTATCTATCGAGCGTCATCTTTGATTTAAATTTTATCTTTTTAACCTAAAATACATAAAAATTTGAGCTAAGTTTTGAGGTCACGAAAATCACTGGAGTTGGCATAAAAAAATAATGAAAAAAAAGAGGAAAAAATTTTGAAGGGCGCTAAAGAGC